GGATAGGGATGATCGTTTCATGAAGTTTGCTCATGAGGGGTGGAAATACATGCAGGAGCTCAAGGCACTACAGAAAATTTACCCCGAATGCGGTGACCAAACCTGTATTGACGGGCAATGGAAAATTCTCTAAAACGAATGGAAAAATGGGAGCATGATTTTTCTAATAAATTTACCAATCTACGATTTACTTTTTATTGATATCATGGATATTAGCTTGGTGTTGGTATGTCAAGAGAGAACTTCGTTCCCCCTGTCTCCAACGAGACGAATACTAGACTGTCTCGTAAATGGATTAACCCTAACTCTAATGGTGGACAGAGGTGGGAAGAACCATTATTACCTCACCTCTGGTCCACGGTCCAAAGATTGACCCCTGTTTTTCCTATAGTAAAACAGTACTTTTTTATTGGTGGGTCTGAATTTACTTTTGGCGGTCCAACAACTAACCCCATATCCCCACTCAGGTTTCGGGCAGCCCAGCTGCCTTAATTTGTCACACCGACAAGATAGAAACATCACAACTCGACAAGTCCACGATGATGTTCAGAGCCGTTCAGCGCCGTTGTTTGACCGATTCAGACGCTTCGAATGCTTGCTACCTAGTTGCTAGACCTATTAAGACTATGGACTGCAGCTGGAAGTGAAGTTAACGCGATTTTATACTGTTATTGGCTAGATTATCACCGAAAATGGCACTTTTGACGCAATTTCCATACATTGCGCGTCTTTCCGCTGCTCAATCAGAGTCACTATCAAGCCCTAGAAGGCTCGCATTCATCTGGTCGATGTCAACAGAGGCCTGGGTCAATCCCTGACCGGTAACATCTTCGTAGGAGTCAAGGGAACCGATGGAACGGCGAGCAGCTTGCTTCTTGTCGTGGAGGTCGAGAATGGACTTGGACACGTTCTTGCCGCCAAAGATCATGAAAACTTGCACTTTCTGCATGCGGAAGGTCTTGATAACGATGCAGCTGGACGTATAGTTGATGAACTTGGCACAGTCATGGGCTTCGACAAACTCCATGACACTTTGCATGTCAAAATTGGCCATCTCATCCTGCCCGCTGAGGACCACATTCTTGGTTTTGCCAGACTCGAGGGCCTCATCGATCACATTGAAGACGCGATAGACCTCATCTTCGATGGTTTTCTTGGCGGGCTTGGAGTAGGTGAAGGCTTGAATAAGATCAGACATGATGGAGCTGTCGATAGGAGAAAAATGAGAGCAGCAATTGGGTGGTCCATTATTGCTTCCGCGCCGCTACAGTTCACCTCAAAGCCGCGGCAAAAGCACTCCGATGATCACGGCATTCAAACTGAGGCGTTCAAACATTCAACATACGAATTCAAATCAAAGAGCCCGGGAAGCTCCATCGTGCTCAAGACTTCCGGTTGGTCTCACAAATCAACAAGGCAGCAGTCACCAATCAACAAGATGGCTGAGTGGCAAACAGTTCGAGGCTCCAGCTTTGCTGGTGATGTAGCCGGGGTTCCTGTGGCGGTTCGTTGCTCTTTCTATTGGAGGAACCACGATGGATCAGCCGGCGACAAGAGTGGAATGTTGAGTCTTCAAGAGAAAGGAGGAAGATACTCACTTCTTTTGGTCGAAAGGAATGGCTGTGGACCCGTTGTTCGAGCTCGCTTCCGCTTCCCTTATGGGGCTCAAGTCGACTGGCATGTCCCTCGTGTCGCAGGAGTCCGAACTCAGAACCGTCCAGGCCTTCGATTCCTTGCTGTGCGCATCTTCTTTGAAGGCAATGATGGTCATGGTTTCCAGCTTTTCCAAGCAACAGTACTAGCTAACGATGCGGAGAATGCAGCCATGGCACGTCTCCTCCATAGCGGACTCGTGTATGCCGATCAATGCCGCCGAGAATAAGACAACAAGTGTGTGCCGACTATAGTATTGAAAGGATAGCATAATAGCAATGTAACAACTAATAAGAAAACATTATCTGCTTGTACAATTGCAATGCTCTTGTCGGTGGCAAAATAGACCGTGTCGGTGGCAGCCATTCATAGATTCAAGTTCGCTGCTCGCTTTGCGAGATCGCCCAAAGCCATCTCTTGCCCTTGCTTGTGGTAATGATAAAAGCACGTCCTTTGGATGTGGATAGGTTTGTCGCTATCTCCGTTGATGATGACATGTGGCTTCCAAGCTGCTAGCTTCAGCGCTCTCTCCGACTGTGTATCGCACATGAACTGCTTACAGTGCAGGCAGAAGCAATGGGTCTGCGCACCGCAAACAATACAAGAGCCTCGGCTCCCTTTCCCGTTGAGATCTCCATTGTCGCCAATTCTCTTCACAGGAATTCCAGCATGGCCTTTTGATCTCTCCAACACAAATTGGCTTGCTTTGTCTAGTCGTCCGCTGACCAGTTTCTCTTCCAGAGAGCTATATTTTGCTAGCACTCCACGCTTTGGTGTCTTGTTTGTCACAATCAAAGCAACTTCCGTACGTTCGACGTTTGCCTGCGATCTAGTTCCTCTGCCTGCGGCTGCTGCTGTCGCTCTTGGTGGAGTAACAGGTGCTGCCGTTTCTTCCGGGGCAAAGTGCTTTGTGATGTGATCGATAATCAAAAACTGTGTCTTTTTGAAGGAAGCTCTCTCGGTTGCAGAGTCGCGGAAACGCTTGAGGCAAGAGTATCGATTGAGGTCCTCTCTAGCCGTAGCAATTTGGTACATCCGATGGACGTGGACGCCGACAAGTGAGAGCATTCGAGCTGTCGCGACACTTTGATTTTCATTGTTGGGCACACTGTATTGGCAGTGCCAAATCAAGTTCGTTGTAGCGTCTGATCCACCTTTGAGAGTATTCCAATATGAAAATATCAATGGGATGATGTGTCGTAAGCGTGGGATGGGTAAGGTCATGTTGTTGTTGATGTCCTTCCACAGTGCTAGCTCCATTTTAAAGCTGTGACCGTCCAAGCTTGACTTATTCACCTCAACATTGTCAAGCACTGTCTGGAGCTCATCGTCTGATGGACCTGCAGTGTTATCATCGTACATCCAACGAAGACAGCTGCTGTAGACGTCCTCTAACACGTCTCCGTAGGCCTCTTTGATAGCATCCGACACAAGAACAAACACTCCGTACACCACAGCTCCGCCATTGTCACCGACAAGCAAGAGAACGTATTCAAGATCGTAAACGAATGCATGATGCAAGACCTGAATAGCTTCGTGAGTGCTGTTGACAATCCTCTTGAATTTGTCCGAATCGGCTCGCACCGAAAAGTACTTCCGCTGTCGCTGTCGAGGCGTTCTATCTTCGCCAAGGAGCCGACGAATCACTTCAGCTTGATGTGTGGCTTGCTGATCGGTCCTTGCCGCGACTCTTGACTTAATTTCAACACCAATTGGAACGACATCGATATCGTCCACAGAGGCGAAGGCCAGGAAATCGATCGATCCTCGAACGTATCGTTGTTGCTTTCGTTCAACTAGAGGAGCCGTGCAGGCAGCTATGAGCTTCATGGGGCTGTCCATGCCCTCTTCGTCCAGCTCTCGAAGACAAGCACGCATGATGTGGCATTCAAGTTGATGCCCTCGTCTTGTGTGCTTCTTAGCGTCGCCTTTCAAAGGATCCAAGTAGCCTGCTTTCACAACTGTGAGCAACAACTTGTTCTTATCGGACAGCAATGCAATTTGTTCCTTCTTCTGCTGTTGTTTGCTTAGTGTGACCTCAATAACAGCCTCTGGATGCGAGCGGAGATGAGAATCGATTGCCTTTCGGATTGTTTCTTGGTTTGCTCCATCATCGGCAATCCCCAGCTTGGTGGCAATAGCGGAGAGATGTTTCTTTGTTTTGAAGACGTGTCGACGAAGACGAGGCTCGGCATCAAGGAATATGTTGAAGCTTTTCAAGTCGGTTTTGTTCTTCTTCGCTTCATCCTTTGCAGCGGAAGGATTCTTACCCAGCTCTTTCAAGATCGCTCGGACTTGGGCCATGTCGATCTCATCAAATTGGATTTGATGCTTTGCCGTCTGGATCAGCCCCTCCGAATCCAACAGCCCAGCAAGCGATAGCTTCACGGAGTTGTCGCCATTCCCTTCTGCTTGTTCCTCTGCTTCTTGTTGGCTGGTATCGTCACTGAGAGCGCCGCTCTGAACAGAAGCATCGCCATCATTTGCTGCATCATCATCAGCATTATCTTTTCCTCTCGGTTCATCGACATCGACGACAAGACCTTCAAGCATGCCTTTGATTGTCATCCACGAAGCACTGTGCTCTAACCAATCTTCGTCTCCTACACAAGCGGCAATTGCTCTGTCTGTTGTTGACGATGTAAGGGAAAACTTTCGGAGCATGAACCATTCCGGCGAGCCTTGTGTTGTTGTTAAAGCTCGCACTGGCAGATCGTGTAGCTCGGATAGAAGGTCTGCTGCAAGATCTTCATACAGCGTCTTTGTTCCATTGTCAAATGTTGTCCTTAGTTGCAAGAAGCTCTTCTTCAAACGATCGTCTTCCGAGAGACCAGGGTCATCGTACCAGACCAAATCCTGCGGTTTCGCAAGCACTAGCTCCCATTCAGGAAGAGCTCCGTGCTCAGTAGAGATGCCAAGTGTTACACCACCAGTTCCATTTCGAAACGCCTGGCAATAGAGCTTTCTTCCGTGGCTTGTGGTCTCCATGATCTGGAGAGTTCGAGCGCCAGTAACCGGCACATCGACACGGGTATCCTTCCCTGTTATATTTTGACGGTACGTCATTGGAATGCAGGGCTGCCTCTTCACAGTCCCAGCTCGGATCTTTGCACCTGCTTTCATGAAATACTGATGTAGAATTGAATGGGTCCAATAGCCTCGATCTTTAGCACAGGAAATAGGGCGGAGATCACCCCCTCCTTGGGCCGCCATTGGAGTGATTCCTTGGCTAAAGATCCGCTCGGTTGCTGTTTCAGAGCTGTCGTTTACCTCTCGTTCCCATGCTATCTGTACTGGAACCTGAGAGTATGAAAGGACCAGAGTGTGGAGGGTATGCCCAGGCACATTGTCTTTGACGTGTCGCATGGATTTCAGACCAGCCGTATAGGTGTTGCCGTGCGCGTGTGGTTTGTCATCATCCAAAGTAACCTGCATGACAGGCCCAGGAAAGCCTTCGATAAAGATTTCACGGCCATAGTTGTTGATTGAACCTTCTAGTTTCATCCAGAAAGGGACCATTCCTGTAGGCGTCAAGCTTCGATTTCGCTCTTGTAATGATGGCAGCGATGCTGTTCCAATCTTCTTCCAATAAACTGAATATTCTTCTTTCGAGAGGGCTCCTTCCAAGTTAATTCGACTGTACTTATCGAATAGTTGTTTGGTGGAAACTTGGTAGGAGGAGGAAAGGAAGAATGTCAACACAAAGTGAAGGAAATCGTCATGACAATCGAAGATCTTCTCTTCTTTGAAACATCGATAGACCTCGCTCTCGGGGCCAAATAACAGGTTGAAGATTGCAGCAAATTTGGGCCGCTGGCTCCCACACAGCCGCTCCATTTTCTGGCGAATGAACTGCATTTCAACTCTTGCTTGATTCCATGCGGCATCTTGAGCAACACCAATAGTTGCCTTCGTCTCGTCGACATTATCCACGGCTTTCCAAACGTTCGGCCCATCAAATCCTTGCGCCTCTTCTCTCTCAAAATCTTCCAATGCCATACCTCTGTCAACTACGCCAAATGGCTCGACCTCTGGGGACGCTTCGTCATCGCCTCCGCCATCTCCGCCGTCTTCAAAGCGTACGGACGCCATCTTGTCAACAAGACAAAAAGAATTCTTTTCGTCAAAAAGTGCGCTTTCGCTGGTTCCAGCGAACAATGAGATGAGAAGAGGCTTCGTTGGCGTCAAGAAACATCTTTGAACGCATTGTCAGAGCAGGAACCTTCCATATCATGAAAGAATCACACTGTGGGGACGGTGGCATTGTGAAATGGGTGTGCTTTCTCTCTCAAACGATGGGAAAATGCGATTGTAGGCTCTGAATCATCTTCTGCCGCCTAACAAAGCATCAACAGTTGAACCAATAGGTTTGAGTGATGGTAGGGATGCTTATCTATGGCCAAAAGCTAGCTATTCCTCCCATGAGAGACACCGACTGGAGCAAAGAGTGTTCCTTTGTTTATCTTGTCGCTGTGACAGCCGAGTCCCGAATTTGTCATTCTCGGGACTCGAACCTGAGTGGGGATATAAAAGACTTGACAAATAACATAAAAAGACTTAATGGGTTAGTTTTGTAGAGCATAGCCCTATAAGTAAAATGAAGGTCCATGGACTGACTCCAGCCTGGACCGGGACCAAACCAGCCTTGTGGCGAATGAGCGTCCCAAACTAATAGCCTTTATTCGACAGTTAGCTTATTACTATTTGATAGTTAGCTTTTATTATTCGATAGTTAGCTTTTATTATTTGAAAGTTAGCTTTTATTCTACAGTTAGCCTTTTTATTCGATAGTTAGCTTTTATTATTCGACAGTTGGCCCATTTATTCGATTAGTTAGCAGCCTTACATTTGACACCATGTAGCTACTAGAGTAGAAGCAAGTAGTCCGCGCTTAATTTCGGTCATACCATGCGCGCGCCAATAAGCTGACATGCGTTAGGCATCTTGCACCACACCGCTTCCACCGACCCCATCACAATTCCAATTGACCCCATGACCATGCCAAAAGACGCCCGTCCCAAAGCTTCACAATGGTCCATAAGCGTGCCCCTTTCTCGAATGCGCTGATTGAACGTCTTTCGAGTTTACCTCTGGACGAAGTTCTTTACACCATTTTTGCAATCCTTGACAATGGCACCGGCAATCGTTATCTTCAGGGATACATCAAAACCTTCCGCCGATGCCGCTTCAACACGTTATACAAACTTGCAGGAGCTGCATTTATTAAAACATGCCCACGAGTTAACAAAGCCCTGGTGGAAATTCAGTTCAATCAATTCAAAGAATTCGGTATACACAGCAATTCCCTAGGATTCCATACGCACCTTGCCCAGCTTAGAAAGAAAGTGTACGAAGGTGCAACATTACGCCAACTGATGGAATATTTCCCTGACACTGAGGAGTTTATGCTCATTCTCTCCCGGATTTATTTGTGAAGCATTTATTTAAGACTTTTGTTACACACACACAAACTTGCGCAACTTAGACAAACTTGCAGGAGTAAGATTTGATAAACGCAAACCACAATACTGCTATTTTACTACAGGTTTGTACCATGGAATGTAAACATGTTACATTATTCCTGCCTTTTTATTATGCCTCCAGAGAATGGGCATGTGTCACGAATTATTAAAACGTAATCTATTACTATACGATTGGAGTCAATGCATGATTTGCTCTGTGAGCCTATATCTTTATGGGCTTCTTTACTAATGCCTGTGCAGGATAGCGAATGTCCTATTCTTACTGGGTAATTAAAGATATAAGCTGAGAAATTCGAATCCTGCATAAGCACTCGATTGTACCCCTTAGCATAATTTGCTATATAAAGTACTGTACGCATCTACCTACTACTGGTAGTCAACTTACGAATTTGTACTGTTTTACAATAAGTATGCTCTCTGTGCAGGATTCGTTCCGTTTGGCGATTTCACGGAACACGATTGAACGATGAATGCATGTTTCAACTATCAGCTTTACTTATGCCTGTGCAGGAAACGATTTTACTGGTTAATAGAGAATATAAGGTCTATAGTTCGAATCTTACATAAAAGCGCGTTTGCACTCCTAGGAACTTGTACTATATTAATTACTGTATGAATCCACTGACATGTGCAGCCACAGATTCTCAAATAGATGTCTTTTCTTACATGCTAAAATCGTATGATGTTTATATATGCCTATGCAGGATACACGAATGTCTTGTTCTACTATTAATAGTTTGATTTCCACGCTTTATAAATAGTATTCTTTTTGTTAACTTATTAATTACACTTTCCCCGAAGGGATTATGTTCTATGTTTAGATTTGAAAACGGTATATGCAAGCCTCTTGCTAGGGCTTGCCTTTAACCGTTTGTGGGTATAGAAAAGGATATATGAGATGCATCTTGACATGGAAGTGTTTGTGTTTTCTGTGGGTGCGATATGGCGCCCTTTTTTGTTTGTTGTAGTGTTGTTGGTTTAGTTAGCTGGTGGACCTCTAATGATCCAGTTTTCCATCAGGTTACGTTCGTAGTTCTGATCATTGCGAGGTTGGACTTGGTCTGCCGCCGCTGCAGACCGGGCGTTCTCCACACTAGCTAGCCATTGTTGTTTGTTTGTAGTTGTCTGCTCCATAATGGAGTCGAGGCCATGTCGGAATAGGGGTCTGTCTTCCGGGCGCAGGCTAGCGGCGCCAAGACCATTGGAACCTTATTTCTTCTTTGAGGGTAGTTCGGAGTTGTGGGTCGAAGGCTGGATGTGGGTCATTGTGTTTGATATGATTGCGGTGGTCCTACATGTCCAAGGAAATATCAAGAAGTTTTCATATGACTGCGGTGGTCCAGCGGAAACCATTGCGGCGATTGCCTAGGGATTTGTAGTGGTGGTCTTCTTGCAATTGGGTGAACCGGTGGCTGATGCGTCCGAGCAATAGGTTGTACCATCCTATCTCAGTCTGTTCAGCGAGTGCAGCTCTGACGTCGGCACGGAGAGGTCCCAGGCGTGGAGGGCTCCTCTTTCCCCAAGCCCGGAGATGTTCTATGATGCCGTACCGAAGTGATTGATTTGTACCAAGTTTGCGAAGGTGCTTGTCTAAGGAGACCAATGCCTCGGCCCAGGTAAGTCACACCCCGGCTAGGACACAGCAGAACATGCTTAGGGGTTTCATCGTCTTGGGCACAACGGGGGCAGTGGGAGTGGTCCCAAATCTTCCGAGTGTGCATTGATCGTCCGACTCCACAGAAACCAGTGGTGTGTTTGGTTAGCCAGCGTCGTTTTCCTTTGGGCATGCGTCTGAGGGCCTGGTTCGATGCCTTCCAGTTGATTTTCCTGAGGGTCTTGTGTGGCAAAGCAAGCTTGCGGGCCAAGTAAGGTCTGACTATGGGTGCGTACATACGCTCGTAGAGGTTGGTTTTGTCCAAGTAGGACAGGGGTTGAGCCTGCCATGAGAGCTGCCAGCTTTGCCCCCCGATGTGTTGGAGGTTTGGCTCCCGATCCCAGGTTGCTCTCAGGAAACTCTTCGCTTCTCGGTCGACCACGATGTTCTGTTGTTCCCACCAGGTGAGTTGGTGTGGTTTCTTTTTGGCATCGGCATGTCCAGCCACGTAGGAAAGTGTGACTTTAATTCCTGCTTCCTTGAGCTGTTGCCGTTGGTGTTGGCAGGCGAGTAGGAGGTCGTAATGTTTGTCACCGGGGCGAATAGGGGCGTATCCTTCCAATTTGTTGATCACAGACTCCCCGTCCAATCTCAGGTCGCATGAACCCGTGGTGATGTTGTGAACTTGTCGCAAGATGTTTATAGCGATCATTATAGTATTCTTTACTATATAGAGTACTGTATCTATCTACCTAATCACGACTCGGCTATTGCTGTGAAAAGGAATTTTATACTGTTTATGCAAACCACCATATGAATATATAGTAAAATAGTACGATTGTGCTTTGTCAATACGAAATGGTACTATATCTCGCTGCTAGCTACTACTCTAGACTACCTAGCTAGCTAGATACTAGCTAGATAGTACTACCAGGTAGCCAGGTTTCCAGCGCTTCCTCTTTCTTTATCTCTAACCATTGTATTTTAATAAAGTAATTTTATTATACAAATCCATGCTCCCCAGTGGCTCCCCCTAGGGTCGTTAATATATGCCTTCGAAACCCCCACCTCATTGTGAAACACATGAAGAAAGCCGCACCACCTCCATACCAACAGGATGAACTGGTCAGCCATGAAGAATGGTTGAACGTGGTCAGCCCTACAGGATTACCAGTGAAAGTGTATAAAGCATGGAAGAAAGGAGAGAAGTATAAAGCGTCACACGAAGAACGGATTGCGAGAAACATCGCCCTCAAGGATACCTGTGACTGCAAAGGCCTAACAATGAAAGTGTATACGGCATGGTTGAATGGTGAACAGTACAAAGCCACCTAGACCCCCACACAATCCCTAAACATCTTAACTATGAGGGCAGAAGACACAATTCAATTCTACTGGTAGAGTGATCTGGCCTTTAAGACCGACCGTTTCGCGCAATATTATCTTCAGGGCTGGATATCAAATATAGTACATGTAAAGAGGGGAATCGATAGAACACATGTAGCTGAGTATGCCACAAAATTCGCAACCTCACAGTGTACTTATTGGTGGAGTTATGAGCAGTTGAAATTATCCTCACTTTTGACACGAATTCTTTTCATCTGCATATTAAGACTCCACGGTACTGATCTACGTAGGATCCTACGTGGAGGATCCTGTAAGATCCTACGTGGCCCCTTAGGAAGCACCTCCAAGGCTCTGGTACTGAGTCTACGTAGGATCCTACGTACGTACCTCTATTTATTAGGATAGTCTTAATCTGTGGTGGGTCTTAATGCGCAGATCACTCTACTGTCAGACGGGCAGGAAGGACTTCGCCAACATGCCTTAGGTAGATCCAACGGGATGTCCAATAAAATTAAAATTTAGTAATTTAATTTTAAAAATAACAATTTTAATCATCGCCACGTCTACCAACGCTAACAATTTCATTCACACAGTCCTTCTCGATATATTCAATCAAAGTGTATCTAAAGTTCGGCACGAAACTCCTACTACCGACAACAATGCACACCCATGACCTAGCTTCATCATCACATCCTGACATAATGTGCCCGACACTCTGAGATGGATGATCATGCATCTGGCCGCAATATGGACATCTAGCCTCTGTCGCGCCCCGCATGAAAATTTTTTAAGCTAGAAGTTAAAAGGATGGGCCCCCGCAGGGGGCTTAGAAGTGTAAAGAGTGGGCCCTTGGGGCCCAACCACCAAGCTAGCTAATGGGAGTGAACATATGGCCTTCTGGCTGGCCCTCAAAGCACTGCAGCAGAACCTCTTTCATCTCTGGCTTTGTCTTTTTGATGGACTTTCCCAGGACCCTGGCCCAATTTTTCATGTCTGCGAAGCTTGTGGAGGAGTCCAACAGCTTGGCTTTGGTCAGACCGCCTTGCTTCGGAGCAGCATTTCTCTTTCCAGTGGCATGTTGATTGATGGCGGCCATCTGAACCAGCATACCCCCCTGTCTGAGCAAAGCTTTGGCATGCTGGGGCCTCAGCCTACCCCTGAGACCAGCGTTGCCCTGCCCCATCATGTTGAAGTGCATTCGATCGAATGATTCGGCAGCGAGCTCGGCAACGTTGTCCGTGTTAGAAATTTGTAATTTGTGCCTGGCCTGCAGCAGGAGCTTCCTTCCTTGCGAGGGCTCTCATAACATGAGATGAGACTCCGTGGACTGCTCCCTGTGGGAAATATTGCTGCAGATGCCGATCCAATTTTCCGGCAACAAGAGGAGTCCTGGTTTTCGCAGAGGCACGCCCTGTCTTGCCAGCAGCCGCCAAGAACACCATGCCATTGTCGTCCACCTTGGGGAAGCGTCCTCCAGACGAGTACATGCTCCGGATATAGTGGTCGATACAAGCCGGAGCCTCTTTCTTGCTCGCACTCATCATCGGATCTTGGATTGCGATGAATACAGCTTCCTCGGATTGCGATGAAAGCGGCTATATCCTCGGCTTGCGGTAAGTACCTCTGTGGCTACTGAATACGGACGGGATGACCTCGGTTGTATGGTCTTGCTTCACTATCTCGCTCAAATTCGAAATCCTCTGGACCGTCGGTAATCCTCTGGATGCATGCTCCGTCGGTCTTTCGAAAACAACACGAAAACAACACCACGAGAGACTGATCGAGCTGACACAGAGAATCCGATGATATGCGAAACACGACTGAAATCATTTCGAACGATTGATTCTGATTGGCTAATCTCCTCTACAGCCTCTACATCGGTAGTGTACCGCGCTCTACAGCGGTAGGCCGATGTCGGCACGACGGTCCCACTGTACTTTCTGTACCAATCGTTTGACCTTCTGTGGATCGAAATACCGACAACAGAATTACAACAGAAATCCCGTAGTACTCCTGCAGATACATCCGCATCTCATCCAAATCGATAGGTAAACCATTAGCTATAGAATTATCGTTCGCCATGGTCGCAATTTATCACAAAAAATAAAATCCTCTAACCAGCAGATGGAAAGATGTTTGCTGTAACCGGCCTATGTTGTAGCCTCTGCGACTATTTGACCATGGCAGATTTGACTAAAAGAGAATTTGTAACGGAAGCCTTCATTGCCTTTGACTATGTTGCCTGATACACCCCGACGAGGAAGTCAACATAGCGAGTTGGTTTCCCAACTACATTGTCAGCCAATTCGACGATGACATGATAGACCTAGACCAACCCCTTTCCATGGACGGTTGCGGAGGCCTCCACTGCCTCATAGGCGAAAGAAAGGTTATCATACTGGAATTTCAATAGGTTCTAGCTAGCTCTAGGTTGCAACCTTGGGTTGCTCCCGACCCTAACCAGGTAGAAATAGTTGACCAGCGGGGATGGTGGGTGCTTGAGGAAAGATTAAGAAAACTCCGCTGTCCAGGGTGATAGACAACGAAGACACCATAAATGCTAAACATACAACCTTACTACTTTTGGACACACATCCATCCAACCAAGGACCTATCGACGGCCCATCCGACGCATAAGAATCATCTGTTCCAAAGAAGGGTCAGCGGGAACAGCTGCAACACCTTGACCTGGGATGGCAAATGGCGCTCCAGGGGGGAGGTTTCCGGCGACATACATGTTGTTCATGGCCATAGCTTGTTGTTGACGCAACAACATTAATTGATCCATATGCGTCACTGCCATAGCAGCCTGGTGTTGCTTTTGCTGTTGCTGTTGAAGATGCCTATGTTGGATAGCAGCTGCGGCAGGGCTCAGCACTGCAGCTGCCCTCTGACTGGTCATGTTGTTGATGATGGGAGGATCAGAAGCTTTCATTGTTTTTTTCCTGGAGCTCTCACCGGAAGGCGAAGCAGGAGGTTTGGGAGCAGCCGGAGCCTCTGGTTTCGAGGTGGGTTTGGAAGTACCATAAAGAGCCGATGCCAACCGTCGCCTACGAGCTGCCTCGGTGTCTCGGCCGACAAGATGCTGTTGTTCGTTCGTCTGCATTCGATGACGTGTTAGAACCAGCTCTTCTTCCTCTTTTTGCCCACATCCCCAGTGCACCGAAGCCCAAGGTGGCAGGCAAAGTCCTTTCGGCCAAATTCGAGATGACAAAGAGGCCAAAGAAAAGGCGCCCGAAGATGGCATGGGAAATTTATCAGGAACAACGACTATCAGAGCAATGTCTCGGCAAGACATTCCCCGAACAACTAATGCTGTTGATGAATTCGAGTGTGGCGGTACGTCATGGTTCGCGGTGTACTAATCGTCTGCCCACGGAATACTTCCCTCACCTTTCATCCTTGTTTTCAGTCTGGAAAGATGTGGTGGACGGCAGATGGTGGCGGAAAAACCTTCGCATTTGATTTGGCATTTTTCAAAGACGATGTGATGAATATGTTCTTTCCACCGAATCATCTCAGAAGGATTACGGTGATGTTAACTCGATGGTACGTGAAGCATGATTCCGTCACCGAATGCAATGTTTCTCAGCGCGTCTCACGCATGCTCTCCACTTTTCTGTTCTTTTCGCGCCCCGTAGGGAATTTAAGAGGGTCATGCAGCCGGATTTACCGAAGCACTTCTTGGCTTATCAGCACCCTAATTTCGATCGCTTCAAACCGGAAATGGCCTCGGAGATTGTTCTAAAGTGCAAAGGCGCCTTCGAGCTGGCTTTGGAACGAGAGGAGGAGGATAGAAGAAGGTTGTTTCAAGGGATTCGAAAGCAGCGAGAGCAAGGCGACGGAATGTTGCTTCCTGTTCACAAGTCTGCAGCTGCCGTGGAACAGTTCATTTCGAATTCAATGAGAAAAGTAGAGCAGGGGAGGAAAGAAAAGGGGCTGGACAAGATACTTTTCCAGCAACGGACGCACCCATTGCAGCGGAAGCAGGTTACGAAGGCCGTTCGCCCTCGTGTGAAGAAGCCAGAGAAGGCAAGGGTGCCTCCATCTGTTCTGATCGCCTCGCTTCGTAGGGATGAATCCCACGGCCACGACAAAGCTTCCGTCGCTCCTCCTTCCGTGAGAATTGCTGCCCTTCGAAGAGATTGTCCACCCAAGAACGTGCACTGGCCACTGCCGCGCCAAGCAAGTCTCGTGAACCTCCAATTTCGTTGCCAGCGACCCAACCCAACAAAAGCCAGGTCACAGCCAGAAAGCCAACGACACGCCCTCCCGAGAGAAACATTTTCGCAAGGCTGGAAGCAGCCAGGAGCGGCTCTACTGGTAAAGAGCCCGTCTCACGTCCCTCGCCAAAGAGCAGCTCAATCGGTCGGGAACCCATCTCGCGTGCTAAGCCCGCGTCGAGCGTCAAGAAAGCTCCTCCTCCTCCTGCATCAGTTGAAATCATTGACGTTGATGCTCCTACTCCGGAACCAAGCAGGGACATCAACCGAGGAAAACGAAGAAAGAATTCTATTCGCTTGCCTCCTAGACCTGTGCAGCCTGCTGTTGCTGTAGCCGTAGCTGAGCCACCAAGGCCAGAGCAGCACGGCTTTGAGCGAAGAAGCGCGCAGTCGGGGCTTCACCTCCGCCAAAGCCACATCCTCCGAGGCAAGGCAATTCCAACGACGCTTGCTAATCTACAACAGACGCCTCGAAAAAGGCTGGGAATGACGTGGGATGATCCTTCTTTGGGAACTCCTGACAGCGCGGAAAGCCCAAAGAAAACCAACGAGCTTGCGCAACGCCTAGCCAACAACCGCGATGTGGGTACCAACTCCATCCGGAGAACGTCACTGGCTTCTAGTCGACGCTTGTCGGCCCAAGAGCAGGTGGCCTTGGCCGAGGAACAACGTGCCTTGAAACGGCAAAAGCAAATGTT